CTCCGGAGTTTCTATAATTTCCTCCTGGGAGGGCATGGGGGGGGGGGGGGGGGGTGGTAGTAAACTCCCGATATTTGACAAAGTGTCTCCAGTTTTGGTAACGCTGTCCCGACCGTGTAATTACCGAATGCCAGTTTGTCGTGTACCGCCATTTAAAGCCAGGTGGAGTGGTGGTAGATTATATTGTGCCAGGAAACCCGCATACAAATGAGATCTTCACAGGCGATTCACAGCTTACTTTAACACATTCAAACAGCATATGACGACAAGTGTGTGAACCGTTGGCTCTCGGAATCATTTAACAATAATATGTAATAGTAATCAAGAATGGATTCCACTACATATTTTTAAGCCATGGCTCTTAATGGATTGTGGTTCGCTCAAATAAGAAAACGATGTAACCGTAAAACTCTGTCAACTTATTTTCAGGGACATTTCTAATTAGGTCATCTAATGACCAGCCCAAATCAAGAATTAATCTCTCGGGTATCGATAAATAAAGTTTTATCAATCACAAAAATCTAATAGCCACTGTATAATAATTTTTTTTAAATGTATATGAGGTCTAGCATCTGACGAGAAATCTGAGCACGTTGAAAGGGATGCGGGATGGGTGGGGGGGGGGGTAGACGGTGGCGCTCCTACCCGGCAGTGGCGTAGCGAGGGTGTTTGGCGCCCGGGGAAAAGATCCATTTTAGCGCCCCTTTTTCTTTTTTTTCAACTCTCAAACCCATTATTTTCATCAATAAAATAATATCAAAGCACATTTTGGCGCCCCTAACTAGCTGGCGCCCGGGGACATCTGCCCCCCTGCCCCCACCATGCTACGCCTCTGCTACCCGGCATGTAATTTTTATCATTTTAAGACGGAGCAACATTTTCGGCCAACTACAAAGTTCTTTTATGAAAGGGGGCGGTAAAATTTCACCCCCCCCCCCGCCCTCCGACCACACTAACTGCAGATACGCCCCTGAATCTGAGTCGGATAAATCAACACCAATAATCACACCAACAAACACACAAATAAAAACCCTACAAACAAAAAGAACCCTACGAACCAACAACCACCATCAACCATCCTATGAGCCAAAAAGCCGCAAATAACAAACTCTACCACCAAAACAAATTAAAACCCCACCCACCAAACCCCACCAACCAAACCCCACCCACTAAACCCCACCCACCAAAACCCACCAACCAAACCCCATCTCTGTCCGGCTCCCT